TTTGTCCTTCTTGAGACCGGCCGCACCACGCTCAGCCAGTGAGTGCACAGTGCACGGCCATCCCTATATAGGATCCGAACCCGCAGCGGGAGCGCCACTGCTCCCAGCGCCGCACTCTCCCGAGTGCACCATGGGCTCGGCCCAATTGATTTTTTTATCTTTGTATTTGTGTAGCCTCTTGTTATCTGAAAGCATGTTATAGCAGCATGCAGTAAACTAGCTATTGGTTCACTAACCAAAAATAAAGCAGAGAATCATAAAGTTTTAAGTATGGATGGGTCTCCCAGTTGGTATTTCCTGTCTTTTGTGTATAAATCATACTCATAATGTGTCACCTGTGATTTCATTTTAAATGATTTAAGGAGCAAGTGCTTAAAAACAATTATGAAGTAATGTAAGTGCAAAATCCTATATTTTTATTACATTTTTAAATATTTTGTAGTTGATTAATCTATCAGATTTGACAGAAGTTTTTTGCTACTCATATCGTCATTCCAAAGTATTCCTCTTTTGTTGAAAACATTTTATCTTTTCAGACTAAGATTTCATTTGTTTTTAAAGTATTTCATTATATAATTATATTAATAAATATAAGTACAGAAATAGGTCTTTGCACAAATACAACTGATTCTTGAAAAGTACACCTGAACTAATGGAAGCAGTCATGTGCAGGAATTCTAGAGGATAGCCGTTAGCTTTTAAAGCTAATAGAGATTTAAAGTTTAAATCTAAATGCCACAATGTGCTTTTGTTAATGTAAAAGCAATAGTAATGTCATAAACAGATACCATTCATTAAGTTACTCATGAGCAGAAAATGCAGACAACAATTTGTCATAACTTATCTTCTCTGTATAACAATTGGAATTACTTTTAACTTCAGTTGTAGGTCATATTTTAATTATGGAAACATGAAAGTGTGAACATAGATGTTTCTTAGAATCAACTAAATAGATTTTTTTCTGAACACGAGGTGATTTGTTGGATGTTCGGTTATATTTTTAGTTAACATTTATAAAACTTGCCCTTATAACATCAAGTTGAATAACCGTAAGTTATGTCCAAGGTTTCACTGAGAAAATTCTTTTATTATAGATTAAGTTAGAGCATAGTAATTTTGAAAAGATTTTTTTTTTCTTTAATGCAGGCAAACTACCTGAAAGGAAGGACAATCATTGGAATAGCATCAGGCAGGTTTCACACAGTGCTGCACACATCAGATGTGCAGATATAATGAAATGTGAGCCTAATGGATGAGTTATTAAAATAGCAGTAGTAATGACTTTCCTAGTAGCTGTAACTACTTAGGATTGGCTATGTTTGAAGTTAAGCTTTTCTATTTAGTTTTGAGGTTTAAAATTTTTCTTTTCTGTTAGAATGTGAATATACTCAGAAGCTTATAGCTTTACTAATTATTTAAACTGCAGAGTGAATGTGTACAAGCCTGGCTTTAGGTTTTTAATGTGTGTGTCTGTGAGTAGAAGTGTTTGAGAGAGAAGGACCTGCCATAGAAAGAAACAGCCACCTTAATGTAGAAACTTACAGAAAGGAAGGACTAGGGATACCAAAGACCAAATCTTTTCACTTCAACTTTTGTAATAGTCACTTATAGATTATTGTTTAAATAGTAATTTCTTTAGGGCTGGCCCATGGCTTACTTGAGAGAGTGAAATGCTGATAACACCAAGGCCGTGGGTTTGGATCCCTATATAGGGATGGCCGGTTACTCACTTC